ATATATAAATCAATACATATTTTGAAGTAGAAATAGAAAAGTACCATTGCTATCTTAACATGAATTCCCTTAACTATCTTTGGATAGCAAGAGTTATAAACTGCTGATCAAATTTAATTTCCTTTATCTTAACAACTTTAATGATATGTACAATCAGAATTTAACCTATTCATGGGCCAGTCTGGTAGGACAGCAGTTAAATAGCATGCATACAGAGCCGCAGCCTACATGGCCAATCACAATTCAAATCATGGCCTCAGGGGCCTGAAAAACGCACCTGGCACATGTGCATTCGAGCCCCTAAATCCTGATGAGCTGAGAAATGAAATGGGATTGCAGTATGACCACGCCTCACTGGGGGTGGCTTTTCTCTCTCTCTCAGTTTGCCTCTCTCTCTAGTGAGTGCATATAAGACCTCTGGCAATTACAAAGAAATTTTACAAAAGAATTTAGCGCATTCTCAGAAACTCCAACTTACACAAAAAATTCCTTCCTCTGAAAATGCCTGTTCCAATACTCAGTTGGTCACCAGTTTGTCAATTTGTCTCTCTTGTCTCCTGCTTTCCCTTGCAGCCAAACCTCATGCAAAAGTGGTTTAAATTTCATCATTTCAATTTACTCTCTCTGTTCAATCCACTCTAATTTGGTTCCCATACCCATTCTTCAACTAAAATTGTTTTATTAATGTGATTAGTGATGTCTATGTCATTAAGTCCAATGGATACTTTTCAGACTTATTTATCAACAGCATCCTGTTGATCACTTCCTTTTTCCTGAGACATTCCTATCCATTGGCATGCCCAACAACATGTTTTTCCATATTTCTCAGGTTGCTTTGTCTCAAATTATTTCTCAGTCTCTACCTTGCCTTTAAAAATGTTGGTGTTCGGGCCCAGCAACAGTGGAGCAACCTGTAAGGTACCGCTGCATGAGGCTCTGCGTGAGGCTGGGGCCACATGAGGGGCCTAAGTTCAGCTTCAGACCAACCTAAACAGGCCAGGCACACACAGTAGAGTGCAGCAGTAATCCCAGCTAACTATTATAGAAGGCTGAGACAGGGTGATAAGGACAAGACTCTGTCAAAAATACCTTTCTCTATCTCCCTCCTCCTCTTATACCTTTTTACACACACATCCAAAGTCACTGTTCTATAGGGCTCAATAAACAATCCTTCTTCTTTAATCTGATTTATTTCTCTAGGTGACCTCATTTATTTTCAAGGTTTTAAAATATACTCTAGCCCAATGGAGAGTCCGTCGTTAGCTCAGCCCCTTACACATATCCATTTGAACAATGCATTTGAACATTAAATTCAACATGGCTAAAACTTACACTTGATCTCATCCCAGACACGGGCCATCTCAATCACAGATCTGCTTATGTGGAGTGTTGTGTAGTTCTTGATAAGTAGCATCACGAGGCACCCATTGCTCATGCCAAAAATATGGGTGTCATCCTTGAAATACTCCTCTACTTAACACAGGCAATCAATTAAATCCTGTTGATTCTACCTCCTATATCTGTCACCAATCTGTTTACTTCCAGCACTATTATCACTCCAGTCTGAGCCGTCAACACCGCTTGACTGACTAACTCTACTAGCTCCCTAATTGGTCTGGGTAAAGCAGTGGCTCTGCTCCAATCCATTATCTCCTCTGGAGTTAGAATGCTATTTTAAATGCCAATATGATCACATCATTCTCCTCACTTTTTTTTTTTTTTTTTGTAGTGGTTTTTGCTGTAGGGCGCGTGCACTCGCCAGACAGAGAGACAGAGAGACAAAGCGAGAAATTACCCCCCAGGGGGGATGGCCACGCCGCAATCCCTTCTCCTCCATGCTCCTCTCGGGATCTTGGGCATACACGCACACGTGCCCAGCATAAGTTTTAAGCCACCGGGTTTGGGACGTGAACCACGGTCGACTACATGGGAGTCCAGCGACATAGTCATTATGGTAACTGCTGGTCCCAGGGCCACAGTTTTGATTCAGCTACTCAACTCTGACTCTGGTCCCAAAGCAGCCACAAACAACACGTAAATGAATGAATGTGACTATGTTCTCGGGCCATGAAAATGAGCTATTGGCTGGAGCACTGTTTGCAAATTCCTGCTCTAGAAGGATAAGGGTCTCTACCCTTACAGATTTAAGTGTCTTTTTCTCATTGAAGCTTTTCCTGTGATCAGGACAAATCCCCTTATTAAAATGTGCTTGCACCACGAAGTACATTTCTCTATAGAACCAATTATGACTGTAATTAATCGGACATTTGTGAAATTCCTTTGTCAATATCCATCTTACCTACAAGGAAGTAAGCTCCATTAGAGTGGAAACTATATCTACTTGGCTATTTTATTCCCAACATGCAGTTCAGAACATGACACAAAGAAGCAATCGATAAATATTTGTTGAATGAATAAATCATCACTTTGCTGTCTGACGTTCACTAAGCTAGTTAATCTTTCTTAGCTTTAGTTTTCCATCTGGAAATGGAGATCATAATAACAGGTACTTTCCACGTTTGCTTCAAAGTACATAAGATAACATGCACGAGTGCTTTTGTGCCCTCTAATTCTAATACAATATACAAACGTACAAAAAGGAATATTTGGAAAACGCTTTAGCTGCCTAATACAGGACAAACTATGTCCCAAGTTTCAAATCCTCTGGCTTTGTTTAGTTGGACCTCTAGCTAAGAATGGTCTGCCTTCCTTTCTTTCTTTCTTTCTTTCTTTCTTTCTTTCTTTCTTTCTTTCTTTCTTTCTTTTTAGATAGAGATTTTTGCTATAGAGTATGTGCGCTTGTTGGAGAGACACAGAGACAGAGAGCGAGACATCATCTCCTGGGAGGATGGCCACGCCTCAATCCCTTCTCCTCCATTTTCCTCTGAGGATTTTGGGCACATACGCACATGCGCCTGCTGGGAGTTTCAAGTAGCCAGGTCTGGGACTCGAACCATAGTCAGTCACGTGGGCGTCCAGAGCCTTAACCACTATGCCACCTGCTGGCCTCAGGTCTTTATTTTTTTTAAAGGTCATAAAAAGAAACAAAACCTAAAACAAAACAAAGAAGACTATATGACAGAGACTATGTGTGACCTGCCAAGTCTAAAACAGTCTCTCTTTTTCTTTTCTTTTCTTTTTTTTTTTTTTGAGAGAGGTTTTTGCTTTAGGGTGCATGTGCTCGCCAGAGAGAGAGACAGACAGACAGAAAGACACAGTGAGAGGGAAAGTGAGAAATCACCCTACCCTCCTGGGTAATGGCCATGCTGCAATCCTTTCTCCTCCATTCTCCTCTCAGGATCTTGGGCATACATGCATACGTGCCTGGTATGATTTTCAAGCCACGGGTTCAGGACTTGAATTATGATCAACCATGTGGGGATCCAGTGACGTAACTAGTACAACCTTCTGCTGGTCCCTAAAACATTCTCACTTTAAATAAAAACTTTACTATTCTTGGACTAGAATAGTGTCTGGGGTTTAAAAATATTTTAATGAGTGAGTGAATGATTTTTACTTTGGAAACATACCAAATTTAATATTTTGGTAAATGAAAAGCAGTGCCATTTTCTGCCTGTCTCCCAACCAATATAGCAGGTAATCAAAATTGTAAAAATACATGCCTTTCTCTTAGGATGCTATGTTTACTATAAATTAAAAAAAAAAAACAGAGTCTATAAACACTTTAATTTTCCCTCAGTTATATCAACAACTGTTTTGAAAAAGAGAAGGCAGAGTGGCTGGGGGAAGAGTGGGGAGGAGGCACAAGC